GCTGCCTTTTCTGGCAGTGTTTTTCTGCAGACACACCTTTGACAGGTTTTGATTTTATGTTCGACATCCAAGGCCATTTTTGGCCAGAAAAACCTGGTTCGTGCAAGGTCGAGTGTCCGGTCCATTCCAAGGTGACCCATGTCATCGTGAAGACTTTTTAAGACCATTTGTCTGAGGATTTCAGGAAGAACAAGTTGACATTGCATTTCATCACCAACTTTCCTTTTTCTGTAAAGAATCCCATTCTGCAACTCAAGTTTGTTTAATTCACGCAGAAAGATTGAAAGTTGTGGGATTTCTTTACGGACTATTGGAGGAGAAGTTTCACCTGTTTCAAGTTGGTGTATGATTTCCTTTATGGCAATGTCATTCCTTTGACTTTGTTTTAGTTCTTCCTCAGAAATGCTTTGAATGACTGGGAAACCATCACACTGATCAAAACTGTTTGGAATGGCTTGGGCAGACATTGACAAGGATGTTACAAGAGGACAGGTAAGAACACTGTTATCTGGGTCAAGAGGCTGAAGGACTAGGTGTTTGTCACAGATTGCACTGACAACATTTGGAGGAACCTGAACGAACGGATCTGTGCCAGGTAAGTGTTGTTTGACAAACTGACGGATTCGTTCCTGTTCTTTTAAGGAGACGATATCATTAACTGGTTCTGGATGGGGGCGACGAGACAAGCCGTCTGCGTCTATGTTCTGTTTGCCGGCCCTATACTGAAGTTGAAAATCGAAGGAGGACAGGGCGGACAACCAACGGTAACTTGTCGCGTCTAACTTAGCTGTTGTCAAAATGTAAGTTAAGGGATTACTGTCGGTTATAACTGTAAAGGGACTGCCGTAAAGATAATCACAAAACTTTTCCGTTACGGCCCACTTGAGGGCTAAAAACTCGAGTTTGTGTGCAGGATAACGTGCCTCACTTCTCGACAGACCTCTACTAGCGTAAGCTATTACGCGCATCTCCCCCTCCTGCTCTTGATAAAGGGCTGCCCCTAGCCCTGTGGTGCTCGCGTCTGTGTGTGTAACACATAAGGAAGTTTGGGGTTAGCAAACCCTAAAACTGGGGCTGTGGTAAGTTTGTGTATTATCGTCTCGAACGCTTGTTGGCAACTTTCAGACCACCTATCACCGAAAGGGGCTTTAGGCTCAAAATACTGGACAGTTTCAATCTTAAGGCTGTGACTCTTTCTCAAGGGCGGGTACCCGGCAGTAAGGTTTGTCAGGGGTTTCACGATTTTAGAGAAATCTTTAATGAACCGCCTGTAATACCCGGCGAAACCTAAAAACTGGCGCAGCTCTTTTAGATTTCTGGGACTTGGCCATGTTTTAAGCGCAGCTACTTTTTCAGGATCTGTTTCAACTCCGCGCTGAGAAACTATGTGCCCTAAGTATCTGACGGATGTCTGAAAGAAGCGACATTTATCGAGGGACAATTTCAGACCATATTCACGGAGGCGACCAAGCACGTGGAGAAGGCGGGTTTCGTGTTGTTCGAGGGTTTCAGAAAACACTATAAGGTCGTCTAAGAAGACTAAGACTTCCTTAAGGTTGATGTCTCCCATGCACTTCTCCATGAGCCTTTGAAATGTGCTAGGAGCGTTTGTTATGCCCTGGGGCATCCTATTGAACTCCCAGAAACCCCAGGGACATACGAAGGCTGTCTTGTGCTTGTCTTTCTCGTCAACCTCAATCTGATAATAGCCACTCTTGAGGTCTAGGACCGAAAACCACTTCGATCCAGTGAGGGCTGAGAATGCCTCCTCTAAGTTTGGGAGTGCATAGGCGTCTTTGATCGTGTTGAGGTTTAATTTGCGGTAATCCACGCAAAGTCTTACATCTCCGTTTTTCTTTCTCACCACGACTATGGGTGACGAAAAGGGACTTTCGGATTCACGGATTATGCCTGCTTCACTCAGTTCCTGCAAGTGCCTCCGGACTGCGTCTAAATCTTGGGGTCTGATTGGGCGGGATCTGTGTTTAAAGGGTGTCTCATCACTCAGTTTTATTTGATGCTTCACTTTGCTCGTGCACCCAAAATCGGTGTCATGTTGTGCGAAAACTTCGGGCATTGCACTGAGTTTCTGTGTGATTCTGTCCTTCCATTCACTTGGGACGGGAGAATTGGCAAAGTTCAGATTTAACGAGGCATGTTCACTGGACTTTTGTGACATTTGGATCTGATTGGTTGACACAACTTCCTGGATTGCATGAATTTCAGCAATTACACTTTTTGCAGGAATGACTATGTCATGTTTACTTTCATTGCGCAGCACAACTGGGAACTTTTGAGAAGGTTTGTCTGGAAGGGTAAGTAAACAGTTTGTGACCAGGACACCACCTGGTAGGGAAGATCTGCAGGGTGACTCAACTACAACCCACTTGTCTGGTGTTTTGGCATTTACATGGACTAACCCCTCTAAGACTCGACTCTGACCTGCAGGTATGACTTCTGCCTCTTTCCCCGACAATCTGACTAGACCAAGACTACTGTTTTCTCTCTGTTTTTGTCTCTGCTGTAATACACTAAGCACCACTCTGTAACCGTAGGGTAGAGCTTGGGTATTAGCATTGGTTTGGGTGAAACTTTCATAGAGAATGTCTAAAGTGTTAGTGCCAATCAACAGAGAAGACTGAATACTGGAACGTGTGTCTGGGACAACTAAGGCATAAGTGGACACACTAATTTCTGAGCCAAAACAGTGTTTTTTGGGAAAGTGATATCAACACCAATAAAACCTGAATAAGGAACGGTTTGACCATTGGCAGCCTCGATTTCAAGCAACTCGTTTATGGGATGGACCTCAAGATTGGAGAGATTGCTTTCATAGAATGATTGGGACACAGTGGTCACTTGAGACCCGGTATCAAGGAGACAACTGCAATTTTGACCATTGATTTGCACATGAGCTGTGTACTTAGCTCCTACTAACCCTTTTGGCAGTTTTGCAGTGGCTGATTTGTTGTAAGGGAAACGGTTTTTGAATTTACAAGGATGCTTTTTGTTGGGACTAGTTTCGTCAGAAGCACTCATTTGTCCCGCAATGAGAGCTGGTTTCAGTTTAAAGGCTGGGTTTTGGTTATTTTGTTTGTCCCATTGTAACTGTTTTTCTTTTAACTGGGTTCTCTTTTCAGCAACTAGAGCTGGGTTCGGTTCATTAGAGCAAGCGGACACAATATGGCCGTCTTCGCCGCATTGAAAACAATACCAGGGCTTTGGTCTGTTTTTTGCAACTGGTGGGGTTAATTGGTTTCGTTCAGGCGCTCTGGATTTGGGTTTTGTCTTGTTATTCGCTTTTGGATTGTCTGTTTTCTTTTTGTTAACACTTGGGGGTTTGAGTCTGGCAAGATGGGATTGGAGTTCTGTGATTTGTGCTTTCAACTCTTTGACAAGGTTGTTTGGAGGAGTGACTGGTTGTTCAGCTTTTTGAGTTTTCAATTTTGAGAGTTGATTCTGAAGCTCTGTCATTTGTGCTCGCATTTCAGTAAGGTCAGTTTGCACTGAGGGGTCAGGAGTGTCAGTATTTGCAGCCATGACATGTGAAACTACTTTTGGTTTCGTAGCAGCAAAATGCTTTTTCATTCTGCTCTCTTTAGCTATGTGTTTATCTTCTTCTACTCTCAATTGTAAGAGTAGTTCTGCAAATGATGGTGGGTTTTCTTTCCTTTTTTCTAGCTGAAGGTCTGCTAGAAGGGCATTATCCCAACACCCGCGACAGAATTGACGTAACAGGTGTCGGTCTGTTTCACTGGCTGAAATACCACCTCTTTTCTGAGCTTTAGCAAGAGCTGTCTGTAATCGATGGAAGATAATGGGACGGCTTTTCACCAGCATCTTGGAGTGTGTTAAGGAACTTAGCAAAAAGCTCGTCACCATCCTCTACTGTGCCAAAAGCTGAATTGAGCAGCTCAATGTAAGCGGAAGGCAAGGCATTGGAGCCTACAGGTTTGACTACATTCGCGGCGGGTGGCACAAGACTGTCTAAAATCTTACGAGAGCGCTGTAAGTCAGACAGATCTGGGTCTTGAAGGACAAGTTCAACACTATTGCGCCATGTGTCAAAGTCTACCTCATGACTGGGACAAGGTAGTTTGCCCGAGAACTGTCTTAGGCGAAAGGAGTGTGATTCTTTAGACACAGGGGCTTCACTTCGGACTATGTGCTCAACAACAACTTTTTGCACCTCTGGAGGTGTTATGAAGCTTTGTGTAATGTTAGAAGTTTGAATTTGTTGTGTTGGCTTAGCAGGTTCAGTTTCAGTTACTTCCTCTGTTTCACTTTGGGTTTCAATGGTAACTGGGGAAGCATTGAGCCTTAGTGGTTCAATTTGTTCGGGTTCAGTTTGTTCGATTTCACGGGTTATTGACTGACTGCACTTTGCAATATGCTCCTGCAACACTGCTTCAAAAGACTGACCTGTTAGTTTGGCTATTTGTTGCAGTTCACTGAAAAAACTGTGGGTGGCGCTACTGGTGACATTTTGCATGTACTCAGTCGAAAGTGCTCGGATCTGACATGTTTCAGTTTGACTTTGAAGCGTATGGGGCAGCAAGGGTTCAAGTGCTGTTACGGCAGCTCCACTCTCATACTCAACAATGGCATTATTGTGATAAGGAGACTGGGGGTCATCAATTTTTATAGTTCTCGTTATGCGGCCATACTTGTTCAGGAAGTCAGATAACTTTTCATCCAGTGATGTATCGGTAAACCCACTAACAATAACTGAGTTCGGGATTTTTACGTTTTCTTTGTTAACGATGTCCATGTCTTTGTCTGGTTTTGGTGTCTGGGTCAAAATAAAGTCTTAAATTTACGCACAAGCCTTTAATTGCTCCTGGCTGGCTCGCCACTTCTGTAACGCCCAACGAGTGGTAATTACAGGGTAATAACAAGTAGAGGTAGGAACTACTATGTAATGGACCAGTATCAATTGGTTAGGTTCGTCTACTGGAGCAAAAGTTGACTTGACAATGAAAAGACCACAGACAAGAGAATAAGTTTAAATGATTTGCCGGCTTATTATTGAAATTTGGACACAAAATATGAAAATAGCATGACATGGACATAGACAACGTTAACATAAACTCCAATTATCTTAACCTTCTTTGTTTAAGTAGTTAAGTTCCAAAACCCTTATTTCCTTTTTCCGGATATATTTTAGTTATACCAGATTTCGCTTATCAGGTTTTGTTTAACAGGTTTTGTTCTCAGGTTTTTGTTCTCAGGTTGCAACCTTTTAGTTTAATTCAAATCAGTTCTATCACGGTTTCGAGTTAACTCTTTAGTTCAGTTCACATTTAGTTTCAATTATTTTGGTTCAAGTTATTTCAAGTTATTTTACAGTTTAAAGAGAACTTTGTTCTGTTGTTCCCAACCAAAAACATTTACATTGTAAAATACCCTTTTACAATATTCGTTTATGGTCTGAAAATAAAATACAAAATTACAACTCAAATCGATTCAGCAAAAGGCTGAACAATTCTGGATATTGCAGAATAAAAGTCCTTTTTTTTTTCTACTCGTTGCTCTTTTAATTAGCAGTTCAATGTTCCTGAGTCCGTTGCAGTAGCTTTGCAGAAAGTTGGGTAAATCCTACCAGTTCAGATGCAAACCATGCAGCGTTCAGCAAGAGAAGTATTTCTCCTGCGTATCTTTCAGAAGGTCCGTGGGCAGCTCGCCATCGCCATCTTGTTCCAACCACGTGCTTTCCAAAGTTCGGTTTTTAGCTGAATTTCTTCTACCCATTCAATATGGCCTATCAATAACAACATGAAATAAGTAGAAATACACAAAAATAAACATTAGGTAGCTTTAAAACACATAAAACCACCATTTCTCTCTCTCAATTGGTACTTGTTAAGGTGCCGCCGTCGCCATAAAGAGCGGACGGGAGAACAAGTCCGGGCAATGAACTTGTGAGCTCGTTCAATTTAGCTTATAAACACTGTGTGCTTCACTATTTTACCATAAAACATAAAATCGCTAAAAGCTTTTCTTTTCCATCCAAATGGTAATTTTACATTGCACAGATATTTCTTAATATAAAAATAAAATACATTTTTTTCAACTCACCAAGTCCCGTTTATCAACCTGTACAATGTCTCCACACAGGGACAGGTTGGAAAAAAAAAAAATATATCTTTAATACCCTCTTTCTTGCGTTTAAAATTGGCTTTAGACTCGTTTCTGCTCTGCTTTTCTCCTTTCTGCCGCAGCTTGCGTGTGTTGCGTATCTCCCTCGCTAGACAGGGAAAAGCCTAGAATCATCCGGTTGGCTGTTGCTAGTCACATGGGTCACGCAGCTACGTGCTTTTCAAAATAAGAGTCTAAAAACAACTTCCAACATATTTAAGCAATGAATTTGTGTACTTTTTAGCTTTTTAATGTATTTTTAAATCAAATTAATTATTGCAGATATTGTTAACCATATTTAACAACAAATTTTATCCAATATATTTATTATTCTTATTATCTTATTATTATTATTATTATTATGTTTTCTCTAAGAGTTGGTAACCTGGGTACACATGCTTATTACAACAAAAAATCAGCAGTGCTAAATAATATCATTTTCATGTATTAAATACGGTGGCCGACAGGGGCCAAACGCACTGCAAACAAAAAAACGTGGTGCAAATGGAAAAAAACGCGCTGCAAGAAACAAAAACAAATGCATCATCATTAAATGCGCTGCAAATGGAGAAACGATGCAAAGCACAAAACGACGCATACCAAGAAAACACCTGCAAAAGAAAAACGCTGCATAAAAAGTCACCACAACGGAAGTGCTCCAAACCTGCAGGGGGCGCTCTCAGTGTAACAGCTCAATGGAGAGACACACCGGCTGGAGAGAGACAGGTACTCCTTATGAGAGAGACGGAAAACGACTATAAATTACAGCGGGAACAAATTATTGTTACGGTAATGTGGCTTTTATTTTATTATATTCATGTATTGTGTTTATAAATAATATAAATATCGCTGTACAACGCGGTACTTCACGTGCCGGTTATTTTATTGTATTTCACACCAGACTTTACAAGGCGATACATTAGCATGTCGATTAGCTTGTTTGCTAATAGCGATCAAATAAGAATAAGATAAGATAAAAAGATTAGAGATTGATACAAAACACCCGTTTTAATAGTACATTTAAAAGCCATCTTATCGCAGTCTTCCATACGATACAACGCTGCACATTAAGTATTATGCTTATTATGCCAGCAGTTAACTTATACACTTATGATCTCCGCTGTTTGTGTATATTAAGAGGTAGTGTATAAATACCCATATCAGTGACGTTACTTATCACGTTTCTGATTTCAGTTTTCTAGTTTATACTGATCTATCGTCTTTTTCCAGGCCAATATGTTTTGTCCTTACTGCGGACACGATCTGGGAACTACCGATGTACCAATGTCCTGTGGCTCATGTGGCTCCAGTGTGCATTTTTTAGCAGAATATGCAGACGGTAAGTGGACTCATATCCAGTTTTTAAATAACATTGATATGATCAATGATGTTAATGCCACTTTTTCATGTAAAATGCATTCATGTATATTTGGCTTGTGATAATTCTAATAAAATGTCTGCCTTTATCCCACTTTATGTTTATAGGGTCAGCATCAGATGTCCTCACAGATGACCTAATAAGAAGATATTTTAATGAGAGCTACAGCAATGCGGAGATTTTGGATTTTTTAGCTTCTAAACACAATGTGCACATGAGCCTTCGCTCCTTGAAGAGGAAGCTGAATATGCTGTCTTTGTTCAGACAAAAGAACTACTCTACTCTTGCCAGTGTTTGTGGGGCCATACAGGAGGAGTTAAAGGGTCCAGGGCAACACTATGGCTACCGTTCAATGTGGCAGACATTGCGCCTAAAATACTCGCTGACAGTTAGGAGGGATGATGTTATGGCCCTGATGAGAGAACTGGATCCACAAGGAATTCAACATCGTGCAAGCAGAAGATTTGTTAAGCGAGTTTACACTTCTGATGGACCGAACCATGTGTGGCATGTGGATGGATACGATAAGTTGAAACCATACGGTTTTGGAATCAGTGGCTGCATAGATGGATACTCGCGAAAGGTGCTGTGGTTGAAATGTGGAGCAAGCAACAATGACCCAGTGGTCATTGCCCAGAATTACATGAACTGCCTGACAGAATATGGAATCATTCCAATGCGACTTCGTACTGACTGTGGCACTGAAAATGGCACAATGGCAGCAATTCAGTGTGCCTTAAGATCATCTCACACTGACGACTATGCTGGGGCTGCTAGTCATTTGTATGGCTCTTCAATGGCAAACCAAAGAATTGAAAGCTGGTGGTCTTATTTTCGCAAACAAAGGTGTTATTATGGATTTCTTTAAGTGTTTTACATGCTAGAAGCACATTTCTAAAATAGTCTTTAAAACACATAGAAAATAGACCATTGTGGTCCTTGAAAGTTTCTTGCTTTTTTTGAACAACAAATTAAAACATTTTCAATTGCATTAGAATCCAAAAACATTCCCTGAAATGCATTGCCCTAATTCCAGCTTGTGTTTTCAGGTCTCAATTTTGGATGGACCTTATGAATGATTTGAGAGAGCGAAATCTCTTTAACAGCAGTCATGAGCACACATGCCTCCTGCGATTTGCATTTATGGATATGCTACAACATGACCTTGATGAATGCAGAAAAAAGTGGAACACTCATACAATAAGACCTGCTAAACAGTCTCGTTGTCCATCTGGGAAACCAGAGGTCATGTACAGCCTACCTCACAGGTTATTCATTTATGTATTTATTTATTACCTTAATTGAAATAACTGGATAAAATGTAACAATAGACCTAGACAAACTTTACTGATCCACAAGGGAAATTACTTGGATACAGTAACCCACACATCACAATATAATAACAAAGAGCAACAGGTGTGAAGTGAAGTACATTAAGAAAAGATGTGAAAAACCCTTGCACTTAATAGTATTGCATATGGTAACAGTCTTGCGCTCAGCTAGTTGAGTCCAAGCTACACGTAACATATTTTTACTCCCAGGTTTGGTGGAACTGACTGTGGGTTTCCGGTTTCACTGGAGGAACTGGGGCCATTTCAGATTGAGGCAACACACAGTTCATGTGGAGATCGTCATCTCCAGTCACACTTTGAGGATCTACAAAGACAGAGTGGTCTAATGCAGCCAATGACCTGGGAGACCTGTGTGGAACTTTATATTAGATTGAAGAACATGGCTGAGTTGTAACATCACTAATACAGGTAATAACTGTTGAACTTCAGACACTAAAGGTCAACCTATCAGTTATACAATAAAAAAATTAGTACAGTCCAAAACCAGGAGAGTTTTGTATTCCAAAGTCCATGTCCTTTTGAAACTCTTCATAAGTTGTTGACAATGGAATTTCCATGGTGTTTGCACAGGTTCTGCTGCATGGGAAGCGAGACACCCTTTGAAACACCAACTTTGGTCTTGGCTTAATCCCAGATGGGGGCAGAGAACAGAGTCCTGTGGCGAACATCAGGATGTCAGGGAGGGAGAGTCCTGTTTGTTTATCTTGGGAGGAAAAAAAAAAAGCATTATTGATCATGTTCTTAAAATGTGTTTTATTAAAGTTGTTATTCATACAAGATGAGAGAAACATAATAAACCTTCTGTATCAAGGAGATAGTCTCTCCAGAATGCTAATACTTTGGTTTCTTCTTGGCGTCTTGTGGTGCCTTGTTCACTGAGTTGAACCTCAAAAAGATTTTCCAGTATTGTGGATGTCAGCTGCTCCACACTTGAGCACATAAATGTCTTGAATATAGATGCATGCTGCTCCAAAGCATGAATCATGTTAAGTGTTGAAAGCCCATCCTTGAACCTACAAAACATCAACAGAGCAAAAAACACAAATGTTTAGAACAATAGCAGTATCAGAAGGGATAGTTCAACAAATTGGACTACTGCCATAATCCCTATAAACATAGAGATACGTACATTACCTTTTATCGGTGCCAAAATGTTTAACTATTCCTTTAAGCATACTAATTACTTGGCAGTTAATAATTAACATAAGACTTTACAACTTATAACTAATTAAATTCATTTAATCAATGAATATGCAAAAAAAACAACAACCTTTGAATTGAGAAATGGTTGCGGTAAATGAAGTACCACTGCATGAAGTCTTTCATTATTATCTTCTTGTCCAATACAACTTTTGGATACTGAAGACAACCAGCCATCTGCAACAGACTTGAATGTTTGTCGATCACTGCATGCAGTTCAACCAGTGTTGCTGCACTGGATATCTGCAAGACAATAACCATACATTTAAGTGAAATGCCACTAACTTCCCATACTGAAAGATAAAGATGGAAAGAAATCACACAATTTTATATTGTCTATGCCAGCAGTTTTCAATAGGTGAGGCCTGCCTCCCCTGGGAGGTGCCAAAGAGCCACTGGAGAGACGCGACACACAAACTAAATCAGGACTGAACCCAGGACTGAATCAGGAGGACTAAACTAGGACTAAGCTAGCACTGAACCAGGACTGGTGTCAGGCTACTGATGTTCAGTGATACTACCTGTCTTTACCTACTCTAAGGAGGAGGAGGAGGAGGCTCACATTTACCCAATTTGAAAACCCTGGTCTATGTCATAAAATAGGAAGGAGGGGCTTAATTCAGATAATGTTCTGAGATGGTGCAAACTGGCTTTTACTACAAATGGTTGGGTTGTTAGATTACAAGTATTCACTATTCCATGTTTTTAAAAAGATGGAACAATACCTGAGAACCGAGTTTTAAACCGGTTTTAAAAATGGAATTCAGGGGATCAATTAGTCAAATTTGTGAGCTTTCTTGATTTGACCACAAACCTCAAGCAAGGAAGCTCTCATGGTGTCATCGGTGATGTCCTCAATCCTTGCCTCAAAATCAGCTGTTGATTTTCCCGTGAGGTGGTCGTATAGCATTTCTGACAAGAATCGAGGGCCTGGACCACCATGGACTATGGATGTAGCGATCATCCTCCCAACATGAAAATACTCATCATCTCTGGCAGCTGTTAACATTTTACCATCCATTAGTCCACTATTAAAATCATTTTTGAGTTCACATGAAAATG